CTTCCCAGCCAGGGTCCCCTGTGACACAGTGCTGCCCCTCAGTTGACATTTCTCTGAGGGGATTACACAAATCCTAGGTGGTTAAGCTGCCACAGGGCACTATGGGAACAGCACCTGCTCAGTCCACCCCCTCCTTCCAGCAGGCAATAATGACACTGAGGTGACTTTCCTGGCAAGACTTGTTATGCTAATTTGAGAGCAAGTGCACAATTCGATTTGAACCTGGCTTGTCAGAGAGGAGAAATCAGATTAATTAGCAGCACAAACTTCAGAGCCGAAGCCAGCGTCTTTTCCAGGACCAGGGGGACAGGCGGTGTTACAGGGCTGCTGAGTGTCCAATTCTATTCAACAAATGTTCTGTACACAGTTCAGCAGGCGATTTGCACATTGCCCAACTCCAGCTCACATGTGCATCTATATATCTATATCTACACATTGTCAATGCACACACGTACATGCATACAAATGCTCTTCTTTTTCTACCAAAACTTGCAATTCTATCCCATACGTCACTCCACCGCCCACCTCTCCATGTGTCACTTAGCCACACATCTTGGCTGGTTTCCTGGCTAACATACCCTGTGGATGTTCTGCAGTTTCTTTCGCTAGCTCCCTACTGATGGCTATTTCTGTCCCACTCTTTGGCCTGACTCACAGGCCTTAATGATGTCTTTGCATAATGGGTACACAGGGAGGACACCCAAGGCCACACTGTCCCAATACAGTGACACCAACTACATAGAGCTATCAACGAATTCCGATTAATGAAATTTAAAATTTAGTTCTTTAACCAGACTAGCCACACTTAAGAGCCATGTGGGGTATGCTTTCGTGCTGACAGAGCAAATACAGAACGCTGCCATCTGGCAGAGTTCAGGGGATAGAACTGTTTAGTGGATGGAGTGTTCCTACAAGCAATTATGAAGCCCAAGGCCCTGCGTAAGACACAGCGCCAGACACGGCCAGTCCTCCCTCCCTCTGAAGCAGCTCTATTTGTACTGCTTCGGGAAGAGCTGGGGGAGAAGGTGCCCTCTTTTGTTTCCGTATAATCATATGAAATCTTAGCGAGAACAAGGAACGGTCCCTGTGTACTGAGTCCAAGGACATTTTGCTTCTGATTTGTCCATGCTACTCCCAGCAGCGTGGTTGTTCCCGGCTTACAATGGGCACACCTGCCCCTGGGGTCTCAGATGTCTATCTGCCCTGGAAGCCAGGTCTTCTGCCATCTCGCTGAGATCTGCTTCTTATCTCTAAGCTCCGTGTCCTCTCTGTGCACCCAAAGCCCGTAGTCCACCATGTCAGAGAGAAAGTGCTGGATCCTCAAGATCCCATGATAGCAGACATCTCTTACCAGACTCAGCATCTGGCCTGGGTCTCCACTTTCTCCCACCCTCTCCCTTTGGTCTCTCATGACCTTCCAGGCCGCCGGGGGTTCACCCCATACAGTTGACCTCTGGGCAGCGTTCTGCACAGGATGTACTGGACCCCTGCGACCATCCCAAGAGGCGATGCTCTCCTGTCTCTTGTCGCTCTATTCCCACCCCCTCCCTGGCTCACTTACAGTGTTTACAGACCAGGCCATCATCTTCTTTCCGAGTTCTGTGCTTTCCCCTGGGCAGTCTCGTCCCCACTGTGGAAACAGGCATTGACTCTTCACTTGGGCTCACAAGCCACGTTGGATCCCAGGAATAAGACCCCACAGGACAGCTCCTGCACCTCCGAGGAGGATAGTTATCTAAGAGGGCAAGGCTAGACCCTGGGAAAAAAGCATCATCTTGCAGGCACCAGACAAGGATGTCTTCAAAATTGAGGAATGGATGGAAAGTGGAATTGAGAAGACATTGGGTGGAACCATTACTCGATGAGACTTGTGCTTGTCTCTTGCTCCGGTTCTTTCTCTACTTAAATCTAAAGCCATAGTTTCCCTTGGCTCACATCTCATAATTGCTTTAATTATGACTTAGTTCAACTCTATTTAGACAGCACGTATGGTAATTGAAATAAGAATGGCCCTTATAAGCTCATGTTTGAATACTTGGTCCCCAGTTGGTGGAACTGTTTGGGAAGGATTGGGAGGTGTGGCCTTGTTGGAGGAGGTGTGTGATGAGGCTTCCCACTGTCCTCTCTGCCTGCTGCTTTCAGATGAAGATGTGAGCATCCAGCTCTCCCTGCAGCTATGCCTTTGTTCCCCCATCATGGACTCTAAGTCTCTGAAACTGTAAGCTAACTGAAACACTTTCATTTCCAAGTTGCCTTGGCCATGGTGTTTTGTCACCACAATTGAAAATTAACTAAGATGCCATGTAATTAAATGTACCTCCTGTAAATGAGCTGTCTCTAAGCCACGGCCTTCTACGTATGCCCCCTTTCTTCATCACACCAGTTGAGGTTGTCTTTATCCTTGGTATGACAATCAGTTTTTTCAGCCCATGTTCTCCTTTTGGTCCCTTGGTAAGCAAGCCTCCCTCTCTAGTCTGAATCCCATGACCCTCCATGACAGATAAGTTCTAACAGTAAATTGATGACTTCTCACTCCTGCCTTGGCTGTGAATGAGTTTTCAAGTGACATGCACTAACTCATCTGCTCCTGTCTCCAATGCTCCCTCTTCCTTAAACCTTCCCTTCTCTCCTCTTACAAACATTGGTAACACTTATGCCTCCTCTAAGAAACATCTTCCTAATTTTGCTACATGTCTGTCTAGCTAGCCTCAAACTTATCCCCAGAACAGTATCCACACCAGACCTCTGTGCTCCCTGTGTCTAGCCTGTGTCTTTGTAGAAGAACCTATTATAGCTCAGTCTGGGTGAGTGGACAGTTTTTGCTGTGTGATAAAAGGAAATTGAGTGTTGTGGTTTGAAAGAAAATGTCCCTCAAATAGGGTGGCACTAATAGGCCATGTGGCCTTGTTGGGGGAAGTGGGAGAGTGGGCTTTGAGGTCTCGGCTTCCCTCAGTGTGACAGTAGCGACTTTCTGTTGCCTGCAAGATGTAGGACTCTCAGCGATTCCTCCAACACATCTACCTGCATGCCTGTCATGATGATAATGGAGCGAACCCCTGAAACTGTAAGACACCCCAATTAAATGTTTCCTTTATAAGAGTAAGAGTTGCCATGGTCATGGTGTCTCTTCACAGCAATAAAAACCCTAAGACAGGTGTCCACTTGTGATGGCTAATCTTAGTTGTCAGCTTGACACTCTTGGGATGAGAAAGCCTTAACTGAGACATTTCCTCCATCAAGGTGTCCTGTGGTCATGCTGTAGGGGCATTTTTTTTGACTACTAATTGATATAGAAGGGCCTAGACCACTGTGGAAAGCAGCATTCTTGCTTCAGGTTCCTGCCCTGACTTCCCTCACTGATGGACTGCAACCTCTAAGATAAAATCCTTTTCTGCCGCGATCGTTTTGGTCATGGTGTTTATCACAGTAACATAAAGCAACCAGACCACCACCCCGTCATTTTGGCCTGACAGCATTCAAACTTTGAAGTAGCAACCTGTCTTTCCAAATTCAGAAAACAAGGAACAGAGAACAAAGAGAGCAGGCATGGTAGCATGTATCAGCAGCCAATGCTTGGGGTGCTTCTAAGACAGGAGGTCTAGGAAACCAGTGTTGTCTTCAGCTACACAGCAAGTTCAAAGCCAGCCTGGACTTTTCAAAAAAGCTCAGATCCTATCCGACTCTGGCCTAGACCTTCCTTCACCTGACCTCAGGCCTAGGACGGCAACTGCTCTGGGTTAGCACTCCCCATCCTCCTTACTTCCCCAGGGCCTGCCAACCCTCTGCAGAGAACCTTCACTAAGCTGCTTTCCTACACTTTTTATCTGTTTCTGCTTGAGCCACAACCAGGTGCTTCGGGTCTCTTCTCCACTTGAATAAAGGCCAAACCATAGCAAACCACAAAGAATGGTTTGCAAAGCCTCATTTTAAGTCTGTTTTATTTGAAATCTTTACTTTTATTGTGATTAATAAAAAAATCGCTGCAGTTCACTTTCTTTTACCCAGAATATATATGTATATATGTGTGCAATATACATATAAGTATAGATACACATATATACACACATACAGACACACACGCTATGTCAGGTGTGGTAATGCTATAAATTGAACACTCAGAACGTTCATTGCCAGTCTGAGCTATATATAGTAGTATTCTCTAAAAAGCCAAAAGCAAGATAGTTGTGGCGCACACCTTTAATCCCAGCACTCAGGAAGCAGAGGCAGGTGGATCTCAGTGAGTTCGAGGCTGGCCTGGTCTACAAGAGCTAGTTCCAGGACAGCTAGGGCTGTTACACAGAGAAACCCTGCCTCGAAAAACCAAAATAAATAAATAAACAATAAAAATGAAAGCCAAAATCCTTCTAATGCAGTTTGGACAGTGTTATATTAAGGTGCTGGTCCTCCTCCCACAGTGGTTTTAACATAAGCAGGCTTTAGTCACTGGGATCAGGATACTCCTCACAGGATCTGCTAAGGATTACATGGAGTAGGGAGAACCTGGGGGTTCCGAGTTGTGCCAATTTGTCTGCAAATATCTAGGTTTTATAGCATCACAGTTCTCAGTACCCCCACTGTCCGCATGCCTTTCTGCCAAATCCGGTTTTATACAACTGTCAGCCTGCTTTCGAGATAACTTCCTCTTGGGTTTGGGGACTGCCAAAGCTGATCGAGTATAAACGATGGACACTCCCAGGAAATCTGAACTTCAGAGAACCCCCCCCCCCCCCGCCCTGCTAGGGCTAATGTCCAGCATGCCCAACCACCTTTGAAATCTAACAGGCTCCAGAGGATGGCAAAGAGCTCTCGCTCCCCTGGGTAAATGCCCAACTGTTGGCTATGACAAGATCTGGACACCTCGGTTAAGAGGTTATGGCAGTGTAAAAAGAAGGGGCACAGTGCACTGCAGCCCATTTTACACTGTAGACTTCCATCCGGGCTCACACTTACACTCGCGATCTTTCAGAAGTCTAACACTGGGAACGAAACCTGGCAGCTACTACGTAGAACGGCCTTTTATTCTGAGAGCACAGCCGCAGCTGTGCTGCAGTTCCCACTCCCCCACGTCCAGGAGAGGCGAGCCCCGAGGGCACTTCCTGCTCCAGCTGCAAGTGGAAGTGATGTTCTCCCGAGGGCTTGAGCGCTGCTGGCCCCGCAGCTCCCACAGTGGCCTTCCTGCAGGGTCCACCTGGAGTCGAGACCTTAGGTCGGGTTCAAGTGCACGCTTCCTTCCTGTCACAGCCTTCGAGCCTTCCGGGGCCGACAACCGTTGTGTGGGACAGGGGTGTTGTCTGTGACTGAGACCACTTCCAGACCCCCCATGGTCAGTCCTTTGATGGCAGACTGGAAGGATCAGAAACAGGAAAGTGGTATGGTCTCCAAAATGATGATGACCTAGTATCTTCAGATAGGGCTCCAAGAGGGAGGGAAGCTCACTGATACCTACAGCTCCAATGCCTGCTGCCTCCACCTTGGACCTCACAATCTGAGCACAGGCTAGATCCCTGTGTTCCAGCAACACGAGCATTGTCCTCTCCCAGGACACACACGCTCATGCCCTAGGGCCTCATTCTTGTAAAGGCAGAGAGATGTCACCTCCTAGTCCCACTGGTCTCAGGACCCCCCTGAAGGCCCCCAGCACCTTGGCCTACACTTCTCCACGCACCCACTAGTCTGTGCTGAGGATGTGTTTATGATGGTTCCCCAGAGATCCACTTTTCCATTCCCAGGGCTGGCACAGAGCAAACACTCGAGAAGCCGAGACAAATGACATGATCTAGGCTCGCTCTGAGGGGCTTAGATGAGTGTAGGAGTAACCGAGAGGAACTAAGGGGAACATTTACTAAGGGGACATTTAAACTCCCCACACCTGGCTCTAAGGAACATACACACACACTGTGGAGAACCCTGTTACTTACCCAGCGTCCTGGCCCCATGCCTTTCACTATAACTCTGATGTGGGTCACTCCCTTTCCTGTGGCTTTCTGGAAAGAAACAAGAGGTCAGTCTCTGGCTACTGTCTCCAGAACACGTGGGGCAATAGCAGCGGCAGAGGTCAACAGGGAGGCAGAAGACAGAAGGAAGCAAAGCACCCAAAGATGCTGGCAAACCCAGGCCAAGAACCAAGGCGACAGAACTGCACTGCCACCTAGTGGACACTTCTAAATATTGCCTCATTTAGTATCTTTAGAGTAGGTATGTGTCCATACCATAAACACACTCATTATGGGTCCTGGAAAACACCCAGAACTCACGCAAACACTACCGTGCAGAGGTCCCACAAACACTGACTGTGTCTCTTAACTGAATGTCCTCTGTCTGGTTGGTAATTATATCATTCTGAGTTTTGATGATCACTACCACACAGTCATCAACAGTTTTCTTATGTCTAGCTGTAAAGGTCCAAGTGTCCCTCCAGGAAGTGGTCCTGTTTGTCAGTGTACACACACTTGTGAGGTCTCTGCTACAGCAGGAAACACGCAGCTCTGATCCAAGGCTAATCTGGCTTCACATCAGGGTGCTGACCTGGCTGCCTGGCTTTGACCAATCCCACACAATCTGATTCTCCTGGAAGAGTAGATAATAGCGGGGTCTTCTGAAGACATGGTAATAATAAACTATCTGAAATGTTGTTGATTAATTTGCTTCTAAATAGTCACTCTGGGACTTGTGTTATAAGACTTGCCCCCTGAATAAAACGCAACCCCTCACGCCATCCCACTGGTCTTTAATGGAAGCAGCCTTGGTTCCTAAGCCTTCTTCCCCTGAGCACAAATGAAATCCTTTTCTTCACTGAAGCTGAGAAAGAAAGCTGGTAACTTTTCCACAAAGGCTGCTTTAAGCAACTCAGAGTCAGGACATCCAAGAGGGGCAGGCAGAGCCCTCAGTGCTGAATCAGGTCTGCTGAGAACTCTCCCCCATCAGCCACAGGGAGAGCACAGCACTGTGGTCGGGTACTTACGGCGGCCGCTGCTATGCCTGCTGTCTGTGCTGCGATGCCGGTACCCTTCTTGGCATTGCGAAAGCCTTCTGTGCCGCAGGAGGCACGGGCCAGGGACACGTTAGTGGCAGACACTACCTGGATCTGGGTGCTGGGAAAAAGAGACACAACTCTACTACTGCTCAGGGAAGGAAGGGCGCGTGCTACAGTCCTTAGGAGCCTGAATGAGAAAGAAAAGGTCACCAGCTCCCTCTCTCACATTAAAGTAAGGCTGTCAAATCATACACTAGAGGAGTGCCATCACCCAACGGCAGGAGAGTATCACCAGAAAGACACGCATCTGCCTCAAGCCTTTCCCAAGGCAGGGGTTATGTTGGTTTCATAGCCTTTCTATAACACCGAAACAGCAGTAGGTGAGGTTTGGCTTGACGGTGACAGGTGGACCCACATGGTGGAAGGAGAGAACTCATCTGTGCAAACTGTTTTCTGACCTCCACGTCGTTAGGCTCCAACCCCAACAAATAAGCAAAAAATAAAAAAAAATAAAAGTATTTTTAAAAAGTATATGAATGAATGCCTAGAGACCTGTTGCCTAGCTCTGTTTCAAGAATAAGCAACCCATATCCAATATAGTGTTACCTGTAAACCCTGTTCCCATCCCCCATCAGTGGACTGTTATGAGGTGAATCTAAGACCTATCAGTTCAGTGTCTATCTCTGAAAGACAAAGATGCATAAAAAAATCCCACAAAACTATTTGTCATGACAATATTATTACAGTAGATAATTTAAATGCTTATGACACTATTCTGGGATCAAAAATTATTTTAAATAAGTGAAACTTTTTACTAATTAGCTCTTTAAGGGTAAGTTATAATTAAGAATGACCTAAGAAAATCCTAAGGTGTGCATCCTGTCTCCCCTTTGGTTATCGTCACCCCACTTTCTGCAGAGCTTTCTGGGTGTCATGGGAAGGGGAAGTGAAGGGGATGCTAGACAAGCTCTCCAAGAGACCTGCTGGGCTAGTACTGGCACCTGCCTGTGGCCCTGTCATGGCTGTCATCCTCTCCAAGGGCCTCTTACATTTTGTACACTGGACAGAAGCATTCTGATGCAGGGTGGATTGAAAAGGTCACAGACACAACAACACAAAGAAAGTAGAGAAGCTGTGTCTGCATTAGCTCAAGAGGAGAAGGGAGCCTCTCTGGGCCCTGTAACCTCTGTGCTACACACTGGAGGCCAGGACTACAGCCTCTGGTGCTGTACTCCAACTGTGTGGCAGGCAGGCTGTGACAAAACACAGATCACACTTCCAAGTGGGACTTGGCCTGCAAAGTTGTCACCAACGCCCTGTACTTTTGTGGCTGGGAGCCTGCTTGGTACCTGTGTGCACAGCAGACAAGGGCTTTAGTCTTGCTGCTTTCATTCACCGTTACACTTAGTCCTGCAAGGGAAGGGGCAGTGCACAGGACAATAGGGAAGCAGGCTAAAGGGTTTGCACTTGTCGGGTTAGTTTACTAATGAGTTATGTATTTGTAGATCGCTTCGCTCACAACAGGACCAGCTGCTTCTAATACAGTCCTTCTAACTCTTGCATAGGAATCACAAGGAAGGCAGAAAAATCTCAGAATCACAGTGTACTAAATCTATTTGATATTTTTATGAAACGTAAGTAGTTTCCCCAAACAAGAAGAGGCTAGCATCTGGCAACCCGACTTCTACTAGAAGAAGGGCTAAGGCAGAAGCAGCCCACAGGGGCCTTGCTCATGCACCCCCTTTCTTACTTGTTGTGGGTTGCTTTAATGTGTGCGACCGGGACCTCCTCAAACCTCATCCCTGCCCACCGCAGAGGGCTTTCCTGTCCTGGAGCGGGAGGGTAAATGCTGCAATCAGAAAAAACATTGGTTAATTTCCCAATTGTTCTTAGAAACACATACATGCCTAAAACCAAAACAGAATAGGTTGAGTATGGCGATGCACACTTGTGATCTGAGCATGGGGTAGTGGTGGTAGAGGAAGTGCACACACTGCGGGGTGGGCAGGATGGGAAAACTGAATCCAAGGCTAACCTGGGATACACACAGCTTAGGACAGACTGTAAGACTCTGTCCCTGTAACCACTTCCCTACCCATAAAGGCCTCGATCCTTACAAACACCCACCCCATATATCAAATCAAACAGCACAGACAAACCCTGTGGTGGTTTGAATGTAACTGGCCCTTGCAATTTCACAGGGAATGGCGCTATGTGTCCTTGTTGGAGGGGGTATGACCTTGTTGGAGGAAGGGTGTCACTGTGGGGGTGGGTTTTGAGGTTTCTTAACCTCAAGTTAAGTCTTGAGTGCTCAAGACACTGCCCAGTGTCTCAGTCGACTTCTTGTCGCCTACAAGATGTAGGACTCTCAGCACCACATCTGCTGGCACACCGCCATGTACCCTGTCATGATGATAATGGACTGAGCCTCTGAAACTGTAAGCTGCCCCCTCAGTGAAATGTTTGACTTATAAGAGTTGCGTGGTCAGGGTGTCTCTTCGCAGCACTAAAAACCCAAAGAGAAACCAGAATGAAAGCTAAGAGTCTCTGGCTCCAGAGGGGCTCTCTGCACCTCTTCCCACACCTTCTGGACACCACAGTGTTGCAGGGTTGGGAACACTGGCCTCGATACTGTGCTGGGTGCGGGGTCTTTTAGCCTTAGTCTAATTTGCTTGCTGGGTTTCCCTGGGGTCAAGTCTCCATCTGCAGGTAGAAAATTCAAGTCCAAACAGACACAGGACCAGCAAGGGAGGCCAGGCTTTGGACTGAGGAGAGTGGTCTTGGGTCTGAGCTTTGTTCTTTAAAAATTGAAACACACACGTAACTGTCACTCAGCATTTCAGATGGGAGTAAAGCTGCTGTTTCATTATGCCTACGCACCTAAATCAGGCGCAGATTGGTACCCGACACCCACGCTATGTTTCTACTATGCTGAAATCCGTTTTAGAAAATACGCTACCATTCAAGCACCCCCGGCTCCATCTGCTTCTCCAGGATTATTTTCAAAAACTCAGCACAGCGCACTCTTTCCTGGGGGCCTGATTTTAGCGATGACGTGCGGCCTCTGTAGGAGGCTGGCCTATCAGTTTCTGTACTAAGAAGAAAAGTGTCCCAGTCCCGTGGATGATACTATTATTTCAATGATCATCATTTTCCCACCGATTTTTTTTTTTGTTGTTCCCTATATTGACTTGGGAGTGAGCAAATACAAGTCTAAGTCTGAGTAAAACCGATACAATTCCCTTTATATAGCAAGATTTTGAAACCAGGAGCTCGGGCCATTTACTCTAGGGGATTGCCAAGATCAGGCCTCTAAACTTCCCAGGTTCAGTTGGGCATGGGAGTGCATGCCTGCCCGTAATCCCAGCCAGGAGGGTCACCTTGAGTTTAAGACCAGCTATGACAGTGCTCCTGGTCATCCTGGGCTACATAACAAGAGTCAGCCTCAAAACAGGCTCATTATGTTAGACCAGGCTGTCCCCAACTGGAGGGATCCACCTGCTTCCGCCTGCACTGTACCGAGATCAAAGGTGTGCACCACCATGCCTGGCTTAATTATATCTCTAAAAATGCAAATACAAGCAACTATAGAATGCCGCAGGTGGGAGAAACAGCGTCCAGACGGGTAATCCAATAAATACCAAGCGGTCAGCTCTGAAGTCAGATACATACAAGTAACATTACATGGACTGATCAGGTTATATTTATGTAGTTAGGAAAACACCTCCCCAACAATTAAAAAAAAGGCCTTAAATTTGAAAGAGAAAATGGGAGTATAAGGGAAGGATCAGGAGGAAGAAATGGGAGGGGGGGGAGAAATGATGTAATTGTATTTTAATTTCAAAATGTTATTTGAAAATGGAAATAAGATGCAAAACCCATAGCCAGGGCTTGGTGTTCTCTGGCACTACTTCTGTATAACTGCGGATGGGTTCAACAAGATCTCCAAAAGCCTGCACTTTGATTTCTAAACCTTGTCTCCTTCAACCATCATCTGTCCTCTGTCCGACCTTGACCCCTGGGGTCACAGCCAGCAGTTGTCACTGCCAGCACACACATCACAGCCTTGGCTTCAAGCATCCTTGGCTACCACCTCCTTGTCTGCTTCAGTATCTTCAGGGCCAGCACTCAGTGAGTTCATTAGATCTCTGTCACTCCATATACCTCAGCTGGACTAAAGTCTAGTCTCGATTCCCCTCTTACATCATCACTTTCTCCTGGCAAACTCCCAGCCCTTATTAAATCTGAGTCTGTGCAAACGCTGCATGGTCGACTGGGCTCTATACCAGGGCTTTCAACTGACAGCTGGGACAAGACACTGCTGGAGGAGGCTGTCCTGTGAACAGCGGGGAGCGTGGTAGCATCTCTGGCTCTAGTCCACTAGATTCTATCTTCTAATTTAGGATCACTAGAGCTTTTAGCCACTGCTAAAAGTCCCTACCAAGAACCGCTGCTTCGTTTTAATGGCATTCCAGCATCAAGTAGGCTTTCGAGATGTCTGACAACCATTCTCAGTTCAATTATCCTCCCATTCTCCAGGAGGCCTCCTCTACTTCCTTTTGTCTCCTTAACCATCCAGCTCCTCCTGTTTCCTCAGGGCCAGCTGATGACCTCTACAGAGAAACAGAATCAATTAGACTTGCTTCCAGCTTCCACCACCAAACATCTGTGCCCAGGGCCGTTGAGGACTCTCCTGCACAATGTTCCGGTTGCGTATTCGCCCCACAAGGACACTGTTCCGGCAATGTTCCCACTTCAGCATCAGTCTTTCCCAGAAGCAAAACATATTGTCATGTCATAAACATAAAATCAAAACAAGAACAACAACAAAAAACACCCCCCCAACCCCAAGTTTCCAAGAGCTTCTCTGTTCTCCCTTACAGTAAAACCTCCTGAAGGAACAACAATACTTGTTTATTCTCTTTGAAACCAACCCACTCCAATTAGAAGTTATTTTCATTTCTCCATCAGGAAGGCTGTAGTCAAGGTCACCAACCCACTCCGTACTGCTCAATCTAATGAGCAATCATGCTATCTGCCTGCAAACCCAGCTTTTCTGCAGTGCTGAACACAGCTCCATTCCCTACTTTGTACTACACTAAAAAGAAAATCTTGTCTGGCTTTCTTTCTACCTGTCCTGGGGAGGTTCTCTCTTTCACTGGTTCTTCCTTTCCCCAAATCTCTGTCTATATTACATCTCTACTTGGAAGCTACGTGTCTCAGGTTTTCCTTTTTATTATATACGGTTGTACAAGGCCATTTTAAAGCAAGAATAAGGATCTCAAACTTAGCCACACAGAGCTAAACTCCATCAGTCTCTGCCATCTTTATAACCATTTCCTATTTTCCGTTGTTTAGTGCTCAAATTTAAGCCTTCACACCTCTCTTTTTCTCAAACTTTATATTAATAGCTTCTTAGCTCGGTGTTGACGAATGCCTGTAATCCCAAGCACTCAGGAGACATTCCAGGCCAGCCTAGGTCATACAGCAAGACCTTTTCTCAAAACAAAAGACCCAAACTAATGTCGATACCATCAAAATGGATAAAATCCCACTCTGGTCCAGACACCATCATTTTTACCTAGACTATTTTCATTGCTTCATAACTGCTCTCAAGTCTTCTCTCAGCTTCCATCCTTGCTCCCTATAGCTTAACATCAATACAGTGGGCAAAGACTCTCTAAAGAGTAAGCAAGGTTGCTGGGGCTGGGTTACACTCTTAGAATCTAAGCACTCGCGAGGCCAAGGTAACAGGATTATAAATCTGAGCCTAACCTAGGCTGCACAGCAGGGCCATCTTAAAAAAAAAATTAAATGTCATCAACTCTTCCCAAAGCTGGACAGATGTGGCTCTGCTTGGTTGCTGTCTGGCTGAATAGGGCCTTTACTGTTGGAACTGGGATGTAAGGCTAACAACCCCCAAAGTACCTGAGATTGCCTAGCGACTGACAGCAACAGATTGGATTAAATTCCATCAGCAGCCCCTCACAGTCTGCAGAGGGTAAAGTGTAAAAGCTCCAGGGTGACAGGGAAGTCAGTCACCATGTGTCTCCTCCCAGAGGTATCACCCACCATGTTCTCCGACAGCTTGACTTTCCAGACCACTGCCTCTGCCTGGAATGGTGCCTCTGATCTTCCCTAGCTCAATTTCTATTCAGATCACCTCTGCACTTCAGGGTACCTTAAGTCTTGCCTGATTTCCTCAGGAATGCCTTACTCGTTTAAAGGTCCAACCTGCTCTTACCTCTATTATTCTGATCAGATTATGGTTAAAACAGATACGCCTATATCTTTCTTGGAAGTCTGTGAACCACTTCGGGCGAGGACGAAACCTTCTGCATTTCCAGTACTTATGGTATTTAAGATGTAGTAGATTTTTCAATAACTGTTAAAGAGATGTGAAGTTAAGTGAACGTATATACAATCTGCATATGAAGTAATTATATTAGTGGGACGCAGGATGCCACTTCCCAGGGCTAGACACAAAACTAATGCTTGGCCTTTGACCAACTCTAATGCAGTTGGTGTAGTTCCTCAAGTCGTTTTGTGCTGGCGGAAGAGAAAGCTGCTAGTCGGACCTAAAGCCTCCCTCACAAGGAAAGAAAACTGGTTACTTATATATGTACGACGCTCAGCCAACAGTTGCTAATTCAACAACTACTTTATGCACCTCTATCTTCACCAACCCCTCTGAGAGTTATCTTCATTTTGAGAAGGATCAAACGCTGCTTTGCACAAACTCCCACAGATGGCAAATGACAGGAATTCACTTTTTTCTATGACTCTGGAGGGTGGCGGGCAGAAGTCACAGGACGCAAGTGTCCAGAAGCCTGGACCCACTTAGCCCTCACCTGAAGCGGCTCGGAACCGCTTCCTTTTCAGCTTTCTGTTTGGCAGCTGCGTCTTCTAACCTCGGGGCTCCGGTGTGGATAGTCTGAGCTGGGGCAACCACCACAAGCCTGCAAAGAAGAGCTCGGTGAGGGGCTGGTTTAACGGTCCTCTGAGGGCTCAAGTGGCACATAGGCATGGGAGGCAGGCGGGAACGTTCGAGAGTGGCAGTGGGCTCGAAAGGGCAGCCTTTACCTGGTCATCCCATGTCCAGCCCAAGACCGCAGGAGCCACGATCCCGCGTTTCTTACAACCTGCATGATTGAAGTTGACCCTCGTCAGTTCCCGTCCGCAGCGCCGAGGAATCAGCACCATGAGCATCTGCGGGGGAGCACCCAGAGGGGAAATCACCCGATTGCTCTGAAATGCCACTTTATGTATTTTTGTTCAAGTTTAAATGCTCTGTAAAATTATCTATATGGAACTCTCTCCCTTGTTAATGGTTTAATCAAGAATTTCACCTCCCTCTCCCAACTGCAATGGTTCGGTCTCATAGGTAACCTTGCCCCCTCGCCGGTCCGCATTGCCTCATGGGAACGTGGGGTTGGCTGGAAGCCGCGCGGGTAGCCGCGGTGCCTTGTGGGAAGGCGGAAAGATGGCGGCGCCCATGGGGCGTACTCTGCTAGGGGTGACTAGAGGCTGGCGACGTCTCGACAGTCTCTGGGCGGGTAGTCCGCGTTCTCGCCACCTGTCCCTTGAGGCTGCGCCCTCAAGCAGCAGGTCTCCATGGCGCCTGTTGGGTGCCTTGTGCCTGCAGCGGCCACCGCTGATCACCAAGCCGCTCACCCCATTGCAGCAAGAGATGGCGGATCTACTACAGAAGGTAAAGCGGACGCGGGCTTCGGGGTGCGGTGCGGGGAGCAGCAGTTCCAAGCGGGTCACGATTTCATGGTGACTCTGGTACCTTGTGTGACCCTGAGCAAGTCATTTCACCTCTTGATCTTTAGTGACATTTCCAAGATGGAATTAACCTTAGTGAATTGGGTTAGTTTATAGCAGGTGTGCGACAGAGTTTAATTGAATTGGCCCATTTTCTCCTGGGCACTCTGTGTGGATGGTTTCCTTCTTGTACATCCAACACAGCAGGGAGCCGGTGGTGAACAGGAATCACTTCCTGTAAATTAGGCGCTAACAGATGACAGGATGGTCTTTGCGAAGTGATGAGCGTTAGGAAGAAAGCCTTGGGGACAGTGGGCACTTCCATAAGATGCACGTGCTAAAGTTTGCTTTTTTTTTTAATCTCAGGAAGCAATTTCTGTGAAGGGCAAGTGAGAAAATATGGGCAAAACCGCAAGTGTCGTTGCTGTCAGGGTGTTGAGTCTCTGTAGATAGTGATGAAAGATCTTACCTGTCCCTACACTTCGAGGGGCTATTGTCTTGGGAATACGAATATAAGCTCTTTTCGTTGCTTTTTGCTCAATTGATTTATCCTCTTGACCAGTTAGGGGTGGTCAAGTACCCCCACAGGTATTCATAGCTCATACTGTGTGTCGCTGTTCAAACTGATAGATGTGCAATTATGGATAAGATAGGCACATAGCTATGGTTCCTAGACAGTTTCCTGTACTAGAGTTAGGGGTGCAGCCAGTAACCAGTCATATGACTAATTACAGACTTTGGTAAGCGCTATTTAAAAAAGAAAAGACACAGAGTACTGGAAGAATTTTACACAGAACCACATAGGTTTGATTTTCGTGAGAAGTGTCCAGGACGGCTTGATGAGAAAGCGGTACTTAAGTTGAGATGGGAAGGATGAGTAGAAATCTGGGAGGAATAGCGTGAGGGGAGATATTCTAGGAAGAAGGGATGTTGTAGTGCCCGAAGAGATGCTGATCAGAGACCCATAGACCTAGAGTGTGGGGTGGGGTCCACAGTGCCTCGCCACCCCGTTCTTCCTGGCGGTCTTGGTCTCTATCACATTCTGACGTTTTGGCAAATTCCCCTCAAGCTGATAGTCCAGTGGGCCTTTTCTCTTCTTTGCATCTGTGTAGTGTTTTGATTATCTTTCTGAGCATATTAAGTGATGTGCTTCCAAGCCTGCCAAGGATACAGTTTTTTCTTCTCCTTTTCCTTTTCAACTCTCCAGGTGGAGACAGAGAGAAGCCTGTATTCGGACCACGAGCTTCGTGCTCTGGATGAAGCTAAGCGACTGGCAAAGAAGAAAGCTGACCTTTACGACGATGACCAAGACGAGCAGGGCGTTACGCTTGCACAAGACTTAGAAGATGCATGGGAGCAGGCATTCCTACAATTCAAACCTGGAGCTCGAGTGACAGGTTTGTGACCTAGGCCACCCTCAAGGAAGGGAAAGTGAGGTATTCTGATTTCCAGGTGAAGGACAGTCACCTGACTCCTGCTTTACATTTTAATAGCAAGTAGTGTCAAGAAACAAAACAGTTTCCGAGAAAATAGCATTTTCCCCCTATTCCTTATAATCCCCCTAACCCAACTTTTAAAAGACTTGAGCTATTTTTAGGGGGAGTAAAGTGTCTTTCCCTTTCTGTTAAAGCTTGCAATTATTGTTTGAGTTTTACCTCTGCTCTGGATCAGAGAGTGGGAGGAATTGAGTCTTCTCTCTCTAATGCCTGTTTTATTAGGAGTCACTTTGAGCCTCTTGTCCTTGTTCCCAGGACGAGGACTAGAGAACAGAGGCAGTGGGGTAGCTAGATCCCAGTCATGCTGGTAAATCCAATGGGCAGGTTTGCTTGTGTATTTGTTTTGTTTTGTTTCTTGAACTGTGTGTTTGTGTTGCTGAGGACTGAACCCAGAGCCTCATGCTTGCAGGGGACCTGCGCTGCCTCTGAGCTGTATTCCAGTACTTATGTTTGAATTGTTACAGGCATTGCTCCTTTTCCAAACACCTCAAGTGCACTGTGCTCATGAGAGAAGTTCAGCTCTGGTTCCAATGCTTACCTTTCGGTTTAAGTTAGGGTTATACTTTGGCTATAAGTTCTTAGAGGACAGGGCTTGAGGAAGCCGAAGGAAGGCTCTGAAACTCAAAATCCATGGTTTTGGTAGATCAGACTTTTTTATTTTTTATTTTTCTCTCTCTTCTGATCATCCTTTTTGTAGAAGCTGATAAAAAAAATGACCGAACCTCGTTGCATCGGAAGCTTGACAGGAACCTTGTCCTCTTAGTCAGAGAGAAGCTTGGGGATCAGGATTTTTGGATGCTCCCTCAAGTAGAGTGGCAGCCTGGGGAGACCCTTCGAGGGACAGCTGAACGAATCCTGACCAAACTATCAGGTAACTTTTTTAACTTCCAAAGACTCCAGGTTCATTTCAGGTTGACTGTGATTGGACATAAGGATAGAGAGGGAGATGTTTAATGGACATGGATGAGTAAAATTCTCAGCACTTAAGAAGCAGAGGCAGGGAATCTCCATGAGTTCAAGGACAGCCAGAGATATATAGTGAGACCCTGTCTCACCCTCTCCCCCCAAAACAAAAACCCTAAAAACCAAACAAACAAAATTCTGGCAAGAATTTTCCTTAGAACCAGTGAGTGCCCCGTGTTAGTGTACTGAGATCTTAGTGCATTGAACACCATTCTTAATCCTCCCCTCCCCTCCTCTTCCTTTTCCTTCTTCACTGTCCCTCTTTTTCCTTCTTTTTTGTCCTCCTTTTCCCCTCTTCTCTCTCTCTCTCTTCCTTTCTCTCTCTCTCTCTCTCTCTCTCTCTCTCTCTCTCTCTCTCTCTCTCTCTCT